TGGGGGTTGGAAGGAAAAAAAAAAATTTTTTTTTTTTTTTTTTTTTTTGATTTTCGACTAGTGGGGGCGCACCACGTCACTGGGAGTGCCACCCCCACTGAGTGTACGAAGCATGGTTGAAACAAAAAATAGTTACAGCTCGAATCTTGTGCCACATCAATCAAATAAATAAAAAATGTTTCTTTAAGTTTGTGCCACAAACGTATACACGTGATATGTAATAAAACAAATTCCATTAAAGCATATGACTTGTCCCTATCAAACCAAACCATTGTTTGCCATGTGCAAGTTTTAGTTTGGTTGTTATGTATATATAATGAATATGATATCGTCATTCCACGCCATGAATCTGAATGATTGAATGAAGAAGCTGATAAAACTTACAGCTCGAATCTTTATCTTGGTGATTTTAATATTTGCAAAGAAGATATTAATATAGGATTGTTTTGAAAAAATAGTTAGAAGTTGATTTTTTGATTTTTTTTTTTAAATATATAAAAAATATGAGAGATGATATAATTTAAAATAAATTAAAAATTAGAAGATAATTTTTAATTATTTTCTCAAAATAGTCCATAATATATATTATATTTTTAGTTTTGTTGTTATTTATAATGAATGTGATATCATCATTCACCACCATGAATCTGAATGATTGAATGAAGAAACTGATAAAACTTACATCTCCAATCTTTATTTTGGGTGATTTTAATATTTGCAAAGAGGATATTAATATAATATACAGTCATGCCAGCGACCTCTAATTTGGTAACTCCCACTAATGAGGTGAAAAAAAAAAAAAAAATCATTAGTGATGGCACAGTGCTCTCACTCATTTTCCTATAATATATATTATATTATGATTTATTTTAGAAAGTTGATTAAAATTTGATTTTTAATTTTTTTTATTTTTAAAATGTATAAGAAAATAAAAAGATAATGTAATTTAAAATAAATTAAAAACCAAACTTTTAATCATATTTCTAAACAGAAATGCTTCCTACCCCTACTGGGGGTCGACTCCCAGTGAGGTGTCACTCCGAGATTGGCCCAAAAAAAACAGTTTTTTTTTTTTTTTTTTTTTTTTTTTTTTTTTTTTTTTTTCAAATTTCAGCGAATAGGGGGTCACCACTTCACTGGGAGTCGATCCCACTGGGTGTATGAATCACAACAGTATTTCTAAAATACCCCTATATTTGTGGTGAAGAAGTTCCACGTTAGGTGGAAGATTGATAACCTTACACCAGACTAGACGATAAGCTTTGCTTTTTGTCCTTTTTTTATCATTGCTTCTCTCTCATCGTTGAGAAGGTTTTGTTTTCAGAGTTTTAATTGCGCATGCAAAACTTGCATGTATCCATACAATTAAAAATTTGAGTAAATTCTTGACGTTTAAAAATATATAATTGTTTGGAATATGCTATATAATATAAGTGTATTTTTAGATTTTTTTGGTTAAAAACGTTGAGAAAAAAATATGTATGTCTGAAATAATTTTTTAACTTTTTATGAAAAGATATTTAATAAAATATTGTAGTAAAATTAAAATGATAATTTTACTTTTTTGATTTTTTGACTTTTAACTTTTTGATTTTTTAGGTAGTTGAATTCAAAGACCAAAATAATAATTTTGCCTTAGTGGCTTCCCCCACAAATTATCATTGAATAGTATAGACTTTTTAGTTTTTTTAAGTTTGGCATCTTCAAAAAAAATCAAAAAGTCACTATCCTATTTAAGTCACATCATCATATTTAAGTCACATCATCTTATTTAAGTCACAGCACTTCTCTACTCCATCACTTCAAACCCAACCTATGTTTCATAAAAAGTCAAAAAATATATTTATTTAGAATATCCCAAACAACCCCTAATAACTTTTTAACCTTTTTAGTTTATCCCAAACAAAGGCTAATTAATTTTATATTACTGACATTATTTTTAATAAAGTTAAAATGATAAAAAATGATAGATAGATATTAAAATAAATAAAGATAAAATATATATTTTTGTAGAAAGAAGATAAACATATTGATGAAAAATGTTTTAACTGTTATGCGAATTAAAATCTCAAAAGAGAGACCAATATAATTATGTGAAAAATGTGGAGTTAATTATAGAGTATAATTTATTCTAAAAAATTGTATATTATTGTTCATAATAGTAGGAAGTGAATATTAATTTTTTTGAAAAAATTTAAGAGTCAAACTTACATAATTTAAAAATAAGGGAATTTTTTTAAAATTTTATAGGCCCGTGTCCCACCAACGGCGCCCTTTGGTTCCATCCCACCATATACATACCATTCATGAAATTGTAAATTTAAATTTCATAGTCTAATCTCTCTCATAGAAAAGAAAAAAAGAAAAAAAGAAAAGAAAATGAGAGAATCATGATTCTCTCTTATTTTATAAAGTAATATTAAAGTAATTACATTTGATTTATCATATGATGTAGCGTCGTATATTACACTATACAGAAGAAATTGTTTGTAGGTGACACTGAAGGAATTGTTGTGCATCTTTGTAAGTAAGGAGAATTTTTTTCCAATAAAAATTATTGTACAGCTTTTATATTAATATGAAAGAATTAATTTTGTCCTTTGGCTTGAGCTTTTAACTCGGGTTATTGTTTCGAATTATAAATATGTTTGGTTTGAATTTTTTGGATTAAGTTTTTTGAAAATTGAATTTTTTAGTTTTAGTGTTTTTTGTTTTTTTTTTGTTTAAAGTAAACATTTTTAAAATTTTAAACTTTTTTTTTTTTACATTTTTAGATGCACTTTACTTAGATATATCTAAAAAGTAAAAAAATTGTGAAAAATATTTTAAAAAATTAATAAATACATAAAAATACAAAAAATGTATTGAATTCTCATTTTTTTTTGTATTTTTGGTATTTTGAGAATTTGTAAAAGGTTTTTTTCACAATTTTATTTACTTTTTAGGTATATTTATGTTAGATATGTCTAAAAAGTAAAAAGAAAAAATGCTTAAAATATTAAAAAAATTCAGTAAAAATAAAAAAAATACAAAAAATAAGAAAGTAGAATTTTTTGAAAAATATTTTTGGAAAAATGGAACCAAACAAAGTGAATTGTTTTTGTTTTTGAAGTTTGAGTTAATTATTTAGTTTTGAAGTTCATCTAGACAAATCTAAAAATAATAAAAAAATTATTTTGTAAAAATTCTACAAAAGAAGAAATAGACAAAATTTTATCAAAACACTTAAAAAGTTTGTTTATTTTTGTTTTTAGTGTATTTTTTAAAAAAAATAAACTCTAATTTTTTTTGATAATTGGGTGTTTGAGCCAGTTTATGCGCATCTCAGCTCCAATTTTTGTTTGTTTGTTTGTTTTAATAAAAAAAAATCTAAGATCATCTATCCACATGGACTATGTTTGGTTTTGGAATTTTCAAAAATAATTTTGAATACATATATTTTAATATTTTTTTAAAAAACTTTTTTGTTTCACTTAATGTAGATACATTTAAAAAATACAAAATTTATAAATTAAAAAAAAATTCACTACATACAAAAAAAGACTATAAAAATATAATATATTTTTGATTTTGTGTGTGTTTATTTTCGTTTTTCAATTTTTTTTTCATAAATATGGTACTTTTCAAGTGTATTTAGATTAAGTACATTTAAAAAATAAAAAAAAAATTGACAAAAATATGCAAAAAGTTCACTAAAAATAATAAATTATGAAAAATAAAAAATTCTAAATCGAACAGAATAATTAGATTCAAAATTTTTAAAAACTATTAATTAAAAGCAAAAGTAAAATGGTATTTGATGAATTTTTTTTTTTTGATTTTTCATGAAAAATATGAAGAAAAATAGAGAAATGTGATAACTTGTATGACTTTTTTACTTTTTGACTCTTTTCTTCTTTTCTTTTTTTTTTTATGAAGGCTCCAAACCCCTAAAGTCTCTTTTTAAGAAATTGGCAATTTATTGACTGATATTTATATTTATGTTTTCAAAAAAAATATAAAAAATAAAGAGGTGATGTGACTTCAATAAATCAATAAGTTAGCTTTTAAGCTTGTTCTCAAAATGGCTCATAATAATGTTTATTTTGATAAATAGGTTAAAAGTTAAATTTTTAATTTTTTGATTTTTTTTAAAAAAAATGTATAAAAAAGTAAAGAGACAAAAAAAATAAAAATAAAAAAACCAATAAATTGGCTTTTAATAGGCTAAAAGAAGCCCTAATAAGTATAAATAAATAAATAAATAAAAAATAAACCATACCAAAAACAAGCCCCACAACATTCTATTTTAATAATTTTTTAAATTTTTATGAAAGAATGTAAAAAAAATAATAGAATAATTTATGTGACTTTTTAAATTTTTAACTAAAATATTTAGTTAGTTAAAAAATAAGAGTAATATTAAAGATATCAAATTTTTTACCAAATAAATAACTAAATATCTGGTGTCCACAATTTTATAAACCCCACACCTATATAAAATATTTAATAAAAAATTTGAAAACTATAACATTTTTCAAAAAATAATTAACAAGAGGTGGAAGTTACTTGGGTTCCACACACACATGGAGTTAGTAATTTTATGAATCCCACGTTCATATAAAATAAAACCACGTTCATATAAAATAAAACGTTTAAGAATTATAGCATTTTTTAAAAAATAATTAACGAGGGGTGGAGACTTGAGTCCCACACACACGCAAGTGCTGGTCGCATGCCACGTTACCAGTGGGCCCCACTCTCTCAGCAGCCAGCTAAGCACACCAAGTCTGACCTGGCAACCATTATGCACTGCATAAGACACTTGTATATTCATCACAAAATTGCCCTTCTAATTCCAAACCAAAGGGTCAACATCTCACCTGTACAAGCTTAAGAAGCCAGAATCAGCATTTTTACCATGCACCTCCATGCAGCAGATAATAGCTTTATAAAAAACACAAAAATCAATTTCGTTTTGTTTGCTGTTAAATTATTGAGGTTCATTGAACAGCACACGACTTCCAACGTACAAACAAGAAACTCCTCTCTCTCTCTCTCTCTTTCTCTCATCCTATTTCTTGTAATCGAAGAGGAGAGAGAAAACTAGGGTTCGAATTCGATTACCGTTTTGATTTTGTAGAAAACCCTGATTCTCTATATTTTTGGCCTCAAAGGTAGATATCTATCTATCTATCTATCCATCCATATATCTAGTGGTTTTGTTTTGAATCTTCGTTAAATATTCCAACTTTGAGAGAGAAGTTTGAGATTTTAGGTTCTTGCCCCTTTTTCCAAATACCTTGGACTCGGTGATTTATGTTTACATATGTTTGTAATCTATAAAAAGAAAAAAAAAGTGAAAAAATTTTGAGTTTTTGATCGGTTTGTAGTCAATTTTGGTTAATCAGTCTGTTCTTTCTCGTTTTCGTGTTGAATTGAAACGAAAAGTTGAGATTAAGATAGATTCGAAGTTTTCAATTTTTGTACTTTATTGGGTTCTCTGGCTCAGTAAAATACTTGGTGGTTAGAGAGTTCTGAAAGTTCTTTCTGTTTTACTCTAATCGTTAGGCCAATTGCATTTGAATTTTTAGATCTATTTTTGGCAAACCCATATGTAAAATTGGTTATGACAGCTAGATTTTTGTGGGGTCAATTTTTTGGTCATCGTCAATTCACTTTTCTTCAAGATTAATGTTGTCTGATTGCTGAGAAAGCTGAGATTAAGTCTTTCCTAGTGTTTAGCTACAGATTCATAGCTGAATCTCGAGATCTCATTTGGTGTGTACATCTTTTGTTTTGTATATTTTCTTTCAAATCGATCAATTTTCTTAATTTAGTGATTTTCCCCCGCAGGAAGAAACTTCCCACTGAATCTTTGGTTTAAGCTTTCAATTCAAATAATTCTTGGGCCATAAGAACATTGGATTTGTTTGAATTAGTCGTTTCTTGAATCCTCGGTTCTTCCAATAGATATGTCCTTGTCATTTACCCATCTCTCTTGGTGGCTGTGGAGTGGAAAGAATCAAGAGCCTAAAATCTCCAATGGGTCTTCTTTAAATTCTTTGCCCGATTCGGGTTTGTGGGAATTGGATACTGTGAAATTCCCTTTGGTTAATGGGGGAAATATTAGCTCCTCATCTAGAAGGGTTAAGAGAAAATGGCAAAGTCGGGAGCAACGGAAAATTGACCGTGAATTTGATGTTGTTGTGGTGTCATCAGATGGTGGTTGTGTTTCTGGGTCCGAGTCTGATGACTCAGATTGGTCAGTTGGATGGTTGGAGCCTCTTGGCCCTGGGTTCCGGAGTGATGATGATTCAGATGATAATTTTGCTGTGTTGGTTCGTTGCTATGGTCGTGGGTGTGTAAATATGGAGGAAAATTTAAGGGGCAAGTCTGTGGACACCATTGGAAATGTCCCGGATATATATGCTGCTGGTAAGACTCACTTTCCTTAAACTTTTCATCTCTTGTTTATACAATTTTCATTGTCCTTTCTTGATTTCTTTGCTGCTGTGAACATGATGGTCTGTTTTTGGATGTGATATGGAACTTTATTGCTTGCTTGAATGTGATTTGCTGATACAGTGTCTTTAATAGAATCGATCAAATTACCAATTGTCTACTAGATATCACTAGGCTTTGCTTTCATATGATATGATTAACATTAAGAATCATTTCATTTTCAGGTGGTGGACTCCATATAGTTGTTTCTTTCTTATGAGTGAGTCAATTCTTTGCTCAAATATTAGCATCTAGATTAGTCTCAACACCTGCCTCTTTGGGGATAGCTTTCATGGAATATAAGCATATTAGGATGGGTGAATTCCTGCTTAGAGAAACTTTTAGTATTTAATCAAATGCAGTACGCAGAATCTTTAGGTTTGGAACTCGATGACATGGAGAATTTTGAATGCAGATGTGAACCGTCACATGCTAGTGAAGCAAAGAGTATGTTTAAATGAGGGAATGCTAGGACCTCTTTGCGGATTGGTGACTTAAGGGAATTTTGATTCCCTCTCTGCCATGTTGATGGTATCAAATATGTATTTATATAAAAAAAAAAAGAAAAATCTAGTCTATACATAATTATAGGATTTTGTTAACAAGGGGCCCTACACTAGTTAATAAGCTTGAAGTAGTTGTAGATTATTTTTATGAGAATGTGTGTCCTAAAAAAATGTACAATAATTTTATTTTTTATTAATCAATGCCCCTAGGGCACTTGTTAACAAAACCATAATAATAAAAAACAACTGGAGACTGGAGATATTTCCACATGTTGCATTTTGAAGTTTCAAAGACTTTGGTAGACCTACCTTTAATTTCTTAATGCTGTGTTTGGTTGGGGGATTTGAGGAGGGATTTGGAAAGGGAAAGGGAAAAGGTGTGTGAAATTAGGTAAAATATAGGCATGTTTTATTCACATTTCATCTACCTTTTTCATTTTCCTTTCCAAATCCCTCTCCAAATTCCTCAACCAAACACAGCATAAGAGAACTGGTGTGGAGAGACTGGAGAGGATAGTTGGTTGGTCTGGGTGTTGATTGGTTCCAAGTCTAATATTGGGGTTTGCAGAAATTCGAAACTGTCAACTCGTCAAAACATGTACAAGTAGCTTTGATTTTTGTGCTCGTCTCCATTACTTTTTTGAGTAGTTTGAATTGCTCAAAAACCTGGAAAAATGCTCAAGTTGTGCTAGGAAAACACGGTTTGACTATTCTGAAGGTTGAATGGTGGAATTGAAAGTTCTGCTCATATTTTGTTGAAAATAATCTGCTGCATATCACATGAAAACTATGTACTTCTTGGTAGTTGTGACATTTTCCTGGCTAAATTTCATAGTTTCTGTCCATATCCCAGTGTAGTTCTATACTTTTCAAGGTGAGCCCTTTGTGATGCTATTTCATGTGACTCAAGGGAAGAATTCCAAAGCAACAATGTAACTTCTTATAGGATGAGATCTTCAGTGGTAATAACTAATAAGAGACAATAAAAAATTCCCATATCTCTTTTAGTATAGTTAATTAATTACCAAGATAATCTCATTATCTTCCATGGTGTCTGAAACAGTGTCCATCCCCTAACAAGAAATAAGCTTACTATTTGTCATTAAGCCCCTGCATAGTTCAATATCTATTGTTTGAGTTGCCTATGTAATACGAGGTCATTTTGAGTGACAACAAAATTTAGCAGGATGCTGTAATCATGAAAATCCTTTCTAATACATACATGAATATAACCTGTGTGTTTGTGTGTGCATGAATGTGTCTGTGCATTGGTTTCTGACAAGTAAGTGACAGCTAGGTAAAAAATATGGTATAGGGTTGTATTTATCACTTTCAATTCCAACTAATGATTTGGCCTTGTCCTAGAGGATTTCTAGGTTCCCGAACACTTTCTCAGCATTAATCTTGCACAAATGACTAGTTTATTTTGGGTACTTGTTCTAATGAGTAATGATTAATGATGTGAGTCGCTGACTTAAATTATGATGCTTGAACTTAGTCAGTTCCTATCGATATCCACATAAAATATTCTTGGAACATTTTTTTTTAGAACAATAGTGGTTCTAGAAGCTTAGAAGATGATCTTGATTTCCAATGGACTTTGAGTAGGACATAAAGATTAAACAAATGTACGTGGAGAACTTTCCATCCAAGGATGGAAGCTAATCTCAAGATGTACTATTCAGGAAGAAGACGTTGGATTTTGCCTTTAAGTTCCATCGGCATAATAAAAGGATTCTATTGTGGTTCTTTTTTCTGGTAAAGATAACTAGCTAAACAAACGATAACTCATCTTTTGTGCACCTTGGAAATTCTAGGCACCGTAGAAGCTAAACAAGTCAAACTGTTGTCTCTGTCACCATTGCTATTATATATATAATACATATATGGTTAATTTATATCACTATTGAAATACACTCATATATGATTTTTCTTTCTTTCTTTTTTTGGAATTTTGTTTGCATTGTTATTGTTGGCCAAGACATCCCCCGTCGGGGTTGGCGGCTTTCACATGTGATTGTGATGCATGTGTTTAATTCTTGTGACATTGTCATCACTTACACGAGTGCTGGTTGACAGTTGTGTCTAGCTGCTTTTTCATGGTTAATTAAAACCTTTCCTGACAAACTTGCATCAAATATTTGTTGAAGATTCTCGTCCGTATTCATTTTCTTTGATTTTGTCATAACCATGAAGTCGAATTCTAGTGAATATGTAAATTAGTGCATGTCTTGTTAGATTCAATTTAAGAGACGACAGGACCTAGGACCTAATCTTAGAATTTATTAGTGAAAAATAAGTACGTGCTTTCTAGTGAATCTTTTCTTGTTGGCATTATCACATGATCTTTTCCTAAGTTAGAGCCATGCGTTCCAAAAGAAGCAAATGATGATTGTATTTTTTTTCCTGTTGTTTCTACTATTTATAATCCATTTTTGAGTTGTTCTTTCCATTTTGCTTTCTTTGCTTTGCAGAGAGCAAGAAGTACATGGAACAATTGCTTTCCGCTCTTCAGAGTAGATGACATCCATGAATGTCCTATGATCGCAAATAAATCTTGGTGGTGTTGCTCCTGATTATTATTAACAACTTAAAAAGAAAAAAAAAAAAGGAGATGCTAAGAAACCAAAATTATATAGCAAGGAGAAGGGGAAAAACTGGCTTGATTGCAATCACCGGATTATGTTGGGGCTTGAGCTGATGATATTGTTTGTGATTGGAAGAAATAGAAGAGGTTAAAGAAGGCTATTTTAGACAATTTATATCAGTATTTTTTCTTATCTTTCTAAAATTTGAAATCCTAAGAATCTCAACTAGTAAGCAAACTCTTAGATTGTGTTTGATTAATAAATTTGGGAAAAAAAAAAAAAAGAAAAAGAAAAAAAAAAATGTGTGAGTTTGGTGTGTGTGTGCATATTCTTTTGGTGTAAATATGACTAAAAATCTGTTGGTCACTGTAAATAGATTCAACTCCTCTAACAAAAGGGGGACCCAAAAAAAAGAAAGAATGTATTGCTGTAAATAATTGGACTATGATTTGGTTTTTGTTACTGTAAATACTGATGTTAAATAAGTTAAAATTACAGATCTCTGTCTCTCTCTCTCTCTCTCTCTCTATGTTAATACTACCTTTGATAATTAGGGTAAATGAGGGAATGTGGTGATGATATTGTAACTAGTTTGCATACCAGGAACAAAGCTAGGCTAGAAAGGGCCTATAAGTTTGTCAACAAGAAGTTGATAATCCTGAAAACATTAAGCAATTTAGATGTATTGGTCTTTAAAGCTCAAAATTGATTTTGAAAAAAATTACAATAAAATTTATTGAGATTTTATCAGGGAATACTCTTGATTACTTATATTTTTATTGCTGTTGGACTGAACTTATTATGAATGCCTGCTAACAACTTCTTGTCCTTCAGCTAAGAACGATAAGCTTAAATTACCCTAGAAAATCAAAATCTCCATTTGGCTACTAGTTCATGGTAAAATTTTGAATAATGTGCAGAGAATTATGAGAGGGGCTTTCTGATGAATCCGTGTGCCTTGTACAAGAGTTACAATGAAGACATTGGCCACCTCTTAAGAGATTGCAGGAGTTGTTTCGAGATATAGAACCATTTCAATTTGGTTGGCAACTCTTTACTGAACAAGTACTCGTATTGGAAAATAGGAAAAGCCTTATAATTCTTTCATTCTTTTTGAAATATTAAATTTGCTAGTGTCATTTGGAATTTCTGGCTTTTCAGAAACTTAAAAGTCTTTAAAAACATAGATGCTAACTTCCAAGAATCGACAAGAATGATAAACTTTTTATACCAATAATGTTTGGGATGCTTTCCAAGATCAATCCTTGTTCCATTATTCTTGCCCTAGACTTTAATGGCTTTTTGCTTACTGCTGTAACCGATGATCAATAGATAAATTCTCAAAGTGAGGGGGAAAGTTAAAAAATAAATGGGAAATAAGACACTTCTAAGTGAGGTACATTAGTTTCGGCCAATTGAGTTAGCCCCCCTTGGTTAATGAGATGTAGTGTGTCATCATCAATGATATCTGTTAGGAGGAAAATCAATGAAAAGCTAGATTAGCTAGTATATGAATTGTTCAAGATGAATCATGGTTGTTCTATATCAGCCCCCTATATATAAGGGGAATATTGCTAGCTGACCTCTCTAGGGTCTCTTTTGTTAGGGTCTACTCCCCTCCAAAAAAAAGGAATTAAAAAAAAAAAAAAAAAACACTTGGGATTGTTTCTATTTCCCAGATCACCCAAAAGTTCACATCTTGTGAATCATATTAGACTGAGATTAACCGAAATATCATTTAGGATGTGTTTGTTTGGATGAACTGGATAAGGGGAGATTGTAATTCATCGGACTATTAGTCCCGAGATATATTGTCCCGGACTATTTGGTTGGACTGAATTTGTATCCTATGTTTGTTTAGTCATGAGATTATATGTTTGGATTGGACAGTGAATCCAATGTTTGGTTAGACGGACTGGATAGGATAAATATTCAAAAGACTATTTTACCCTTGTAATTTATAATTTTTATTTAATATATAATTTTAAATTTGTAGTCTATAATTTATAATTTAACAACACTAAAAAAATTTAATTTATAAGATCATAATTTTTAATTATTTAAATTTTTTATTTAATATATAATTTTAAATTAACAACACTAAAAAAATAATTTATAAATGTTCAAAAGACTATTTTACCCTTTTTTTAATTGTTTACTAAGTAATAGCATGGAGGGTAAAATGGATATTTTATAAAATAATCCCATGGGATACTAATCCCATGGTTTCTATCCCACCCCCTCCCATGGGATAGGATAGGATAGTCCTATATTTGTGGGACTAATAGTCCGGAATAAAATTTTTCAAACAAACAATGGACTATTAGTCCGGACTAATAATCCAATCCCACCCCTTAATCCTTCCGAACAAACACAATCATAAGGTACTCAAATCAAATCAGAGCTATACTTTTGCGTCATGTTTGTTTGGGCGGACTGGATTAGTATTTCCATGACTAATAATCCTAGGATTACGAATCTATTGGATTATGTATCCTATCTTAACTAAAAGTGAAGTTTAAAATAATTAATCCGTACTTTAATTGTTTAACCAAACATCGAATTAATAATTTTATTGGACTATTAGTCCAATCCCAAACTCATGTCCACCTAAACAAACATGGCCTTGGTCTACTGTTGCATTCATAATCAAAATTGGCTTTGATTAACAAGTGTTGTAACGACATTGATCAACACATTATGAAATGGTTATGTATTATTTAATTATCCATTTTTATGACAATATGCAATCACCATAAGCGTGCGAGCATCTGATTTAATAATGCTACACTTATCATATTAGTCTATCACATCTGTTTTATCACCTGTTATAATGTTGTTGTGATATTCTATATTATTCACGTGAAATTTATTGTGTCTATAATTGTAGGTATGCCACATCAAATAATAATAAAACATGGTAAGATAATATAGTACTTTACATTATTGTAAGATTTTACTTTTAAAAAAGCAAAATTATACAAGCAAACAAAACTTCGAAAATTTCCCTATCATGGAGTTATGTTGGGTTGTGTTTGAAATTTTAAAATTTTATTGCACTATATCTCATTGATTTATTAATAATTGTAGCACTTCTGATAAAACAAATATGGGTAGTTGAAGAATATAATCAAATAAAATAAAGGATAAACTACAAATACATTTTCTGAAATTTGTTTAAAATACAGATTGCTCTTATAGTTTTGGAAATTATATCTCTACCCCTTTAAGTTTATAATCATCTAACAAATGACCCATTTTATTAATAAATCATTAAGTCAATTAATAATATCAATAATATATTTCAATTAACAATTCAAATAATTTTATTGTTATATAGAAGAGTAGTTAGATTTATTTTATTTTATAAATTTTGTTAAATAAATCTTTTTAACAAGAAGCGTTTTTATAATTTTTTAAACTATACAGAGCAATTTATATTTCAAGCAAATCAGATATATTTATAATTTGCTATAAAATAAAAGAAATTCTAAAGCGTAGAAACTAGAAAGACATGCATGCCATATTCTTGAAGACCAACCTGACAATACCAGGACATGCCAGTTGGAGAAATCCAATTATTTTAATTTCATTTTTTTTTTATTTAAGTCAATTAATAATATCAATAATATATTTCAATTAACAATTCAAATAATTTTATTATTGTATAGAAGAGTAGTTAGATTTATTTTATTTTATAAATTCTGTTAAATAAATCTTTTTAACAAGAAGCGTATTTATAGTTTTTTAAACTATACAGAGTAATTTATATTTCAAGCAAATCAGATATATTTATAATTTGCTATAAAATAAAAGAAATTCTAAAGCGTAGAAACTAGAAAGACATGCATGCCATATTCTTGAAGACCAACCTGACAATACCAGGACATGCCAGTTGGAGAAATCCAATTATTTTAATTTCATTTTTTTTTTATTTGAAAAAATGGAACCCAATATTTGTGCAATTCAAATGATCCAACACCTAGTTTTGGGCGAATTGTTCTCTCCTCCATATCCAGCCATTGTCAGCCATAGTTCTCACAAAGTTGTGTTTGGGTCTCTCACATTTCACAATCTGCTGTTTATTTCTCATCAGTCTCTCATGGATAAAGACTTTTAGAGAGAGAGAGAGAGAGAGGATGTTGCAAAGAGCAGCAAGGAATGCATATTCATGGTGGTGGGCCAGCCACATCAGGACAAAGCAGTCAAAATGGTTGGATCAAAACATCATAGGTAAATATAATGTATCATTTTACTCCAATCTTGGTATATATACCTCTTTAAATCTTTACATATGCATTTATTATATATATGTATGCATAACACTTTTCTTGAATCTCATTTCATGACAAAGATTACCTAATTTGCATCAATTAAATCACACAAGTGGGATCTGAAATGCTAAATTTTCTCATGTTTTTCAGATTTATTTTCTTGGGAAATTGTCAATCAATGTCCATCTCATGGGATATCCTTCTACATAAATAATAATGTTTGGTTCACTAAGATTAAAGGTTGACTGGAATGAAAGCAAATGATCATTTGGAGAATTGATTATTCTCTTACAAAGATTCATATATATATATATATATATAGTAACGGAACATGACACTGTATATTTTAATAAAATAATTATTTTATTTTATTTCATTTCAGTGAATTAAATAGTATGTAACCATCTACAATAGTGTTATGGAAATGTCTTTTCCTAAATAGTGAGAACAAGATTTTTTAAAGAGAATATAAAGATGCTCCAATAAACCTTCATAGCTTAAATGAAGAGCAAAAGAAAAGTAAAGTAGAAAATACAAGTAGAAACATCTAATGATTTTCTTAACAATGAGGGGAACTATCTCTTCATTCACGGATACGACTGCATACATCTAATTCTTCTAATCCATGCAGTGACGAGAGTTTCGTGGATTGACACTGTTTTATGGAAATCGTTCGATGAATTGCAGCATAAATAATAGAAACTGTCATCTTCTACGCGATTGTTCCTTTGCAATCGAAATTTCATAGCAATCAATGTTCTTCTCAAAAAAATAAAATAAAATCAGTGCACAAGATTCCCGCTAAAGCATGGTCAATAAATATTCTATCCAAAAAAACAAAACAAAAAATTGTCCAATTCATCATCTGCACACCCAACAAAAAAATCTTATACACTATGGTCCAAAATATTCTTCCAAAGAAGAAAATTGTTCAATTTGTGATCTATACCGCCAAGTCCAATTCTGGCACACTAATAAAATCTTCCCTCCATGAGAATGTGAACCGATAGAAAACTTATTCCTAAGTGTTTGGTGAATACTTATGTGAAATTGTGAAATTGCAGATATGCAGGAGAAGGTGGAGTACATACTCAAAATCATCGAGGAGGACGGGGACTCCTTTGCCCAAAGGGCAGAAATGTACTACAGGAAGAGACCGGAACTAGTGAACTTTGTGGAAGACTCTTTTCGAGGGTACAGAGCTTTGGCAGAGCGGTATGATCACCTATCAAGAGAGCTACAAACCGCAAATAGAACCATTGCCACAGTTTACCCTGAACAAGTACAACTCGCAATGGACGATGAAGATGAAGAAAGTTTCCCAGCAATGACATCGATTCCTCCTTGTGATCCTCAAAAATGCCCAAAGAATTTACCAGCTGCCCCAAAGTTAGACATCCCGAAAAACCGCAAAATCCCACTGAAAAGTTCCAAGGACCCAGATAGATCAATTTCGAAAAAGGGACTGCTCAAAATGAGTGTTCCCACCAATGCTACAGATACAAATTTGGCGGCAGGCATAACCAAGGGGCTGGAGGAAATTGATAAGCTTCAAAAGAGCATTTTGGCTCTTCAAACCGAGAAGGAGTTTGTGAAAAGCTTGTATGAAAGTGGGGTTGCGAAGTATTGGGAGATCGAAGAGAAGGTCACAGAAATGCAAGCAAAAGTTAATGACTTACAAGATGAGTTTGGCATCGGTACATTCATTGAAGATGATGAGGCTCGAACATTGATGGCTGCCACGGCCTTGAAATCGTGCCAGGAGGCCTTGATTCAGTTGCAGGAGAAACAAGAGCACTTAAACGAAGAGGCTAGAGCGGAGCACCAAAGAATTAAAGAAGCTCATGAGAAGTTGGAGATTCTCAAGGGAAACTCTGGCAACAAAAAATGCCTCTCGGAGAACCTTGAGTGTGGGAGCACTAGCATGGATTTAAGGGACTCGGAGCAAGAGAGTCATGATGTGGAATTGTTGAGGGAAAAGATTAAAGAACAATTGAAAGTGGATTCTAGTACATCTCTTACAATGTCGGAGTTCGCAGAGAAGATTGATGACCTTGTTGACAAGGTTATTACTTTGGAAACCGCGGTGTCTTCACAGAATGCTTTGGTGAAAAGATTGAGATCGGAAACAAGCGAGATTCAAGCAAATCTTCGGAGTATGGAGGAGGACAAGGAGGCTCTAATCGAGGGGTTGGATAGCAAGAGCAACAAGATAAGAGAGTTGGAGCAAGAATTGGTTAGGATTCAAAGTCTCCACCAAAATGTCAACCAACAAAACAGGAATCTCCAGATTCATGTCACTGAAGCAAATTTCAGCGTTGATCTTCTCTCTGAAAAACTGGAAACCGTGAAGCAGGATGAGGAGGTCGACAATCCGAACAATCACCTTGTTAATCTTTCCTCTACTGGCCACGATTCAGCGGTCTCAAAAGATGCGGAAACAGGAGAGAAAGCAAAGAAAGATGACACTCTGGTTCAAAGCGCTTCATTCAGAATTGAGGATGACAACTTTGTTGTGTTCAATTTGAGCAGTCATGTTGGTGACGTTTTGTTACCAGTTGTAGGGAGAGATGATTATCCTGATCATAAAAATCCATTTAAAGCTGAACAAGAATTCTCATTTCAGCTCAATCCGTTGGAACACGTTGAAAATCTTTCGGTAAATGGCCAAGTTGAGGCAGCTTTGGGTACCAATCCCTTTGATGATGATCCGAGAAAAGGTCAGGTGATAGAGGATCAAGAAGTTGAAAAAGAGAGAACATTGAAAGAGCATGAAGGTGTCACCGGGCCTAGTAATGACTCAGTTATCTCAAACGATGTGATTATGGAACAAAAGAACAATGAAGACACGGTGGATCCTGCTAATGATTCACCGATCACAAAAGATGCAAAAGCAACAAAGGAAGCAATGAAAGATGAATCAAACCCAAGTAAATTGGAGTCGCGAGAAGTGGAAACTGAGGATGAAAGCCAACCAGATTGGAGGCAACTGTTCATGAATGGATTGGATGACAGAGAAACGATGCTGTTGCAGCAGTACACTACAATTCTCAGGAACTTTAAGGAAACAAAGAAGAGGCTTAGTGAAATGGAGAAGAAAAACCACGATAGCCTCTTCAAATCCACGTCGCAGATCAAAGAACTGAAAAATTCTAATGCACTGAAGGATGCGGAGATTCGATCTTTGCATAAAAAACTCAAATTGCTCCAAACGTGTCTCGAGGAAACTCTAGACACCGAGCAGGAAGGTCCTGTGGAGAGCGTGACAAGTGAAGAAACTGATCAAAAGCCAGTCTCTGATTTGCTAGATGGACACAAAGTTGAATCTCCAGAAAGCAAAGAAGACTCAAATGAACCAGAATCAATTAACTTTCCTGGAAAAGGAGAAGGCAAGAAAAAGGTAGTTTCATGCGTTGAACCTTGTGTCCTTTCAAGGGTTGAAGAGAAGATTCGCTCCGACATTGATGGATTGCTTGAGGAAAACATTGAGTTCTGGTTGAGATTTAGCACCTCACTTCACCAAATACAGAAATTCCAAAATTCAGTTGGGGATTTAGAAGAAGAATTAGCTAAAGTCATGGAAACCAAGAAACAAGAAGGGAGTTCTAAACGCCATTCGCTGAATTCAGATGTTCGTCCAATATACACACACCTAAGAGAAATACGAACTGAATTGGCAATGTGGTTGGAACATAATTCATTAATAGAAGATGAGTTGCAAAACAGATTGTCATCGCTGTCAAACATTCAAGAAGAGATATCAAGGCTTTCGAATGCAGGGTTGAAAGAGGAAGAAGAAGAAAGTGAACTGAGTGACTATGAGGCTGCGAAGTTTCAAGGGGAGGTTTTGAACATGAAGCAAGAGAACAACAAGGTTGCGTATAAATTTCAGGCGGGGCTTGAACGCGTTAAAGAATTGCAAGGTGAGATCACGAAGATACTTGAGAATTTGGAGGAAGAATTGGGGATTTCGTCTGGAACGAAAAATCGGCCATCAAAGAATTCTTCTAGTCGGAGGATCCCGTTGCGGTCTTTTCTGTTTGGAGTTAGGTTGAGGAAGCAGAGTGCATCATTGTTCCAGTGCATGAGTCCTTCACTGCAAAAACAGTACAGTGACTTGACTTCAATGCCTCCACCAACATAGTTTGGGTTTTGTTTTTGTTTTTGTTGTTGTTGATTAGAGTGTAATTTGAGATAGTCTGGTGTTAAATTGTTCCCAAGTAAAGCAGTTATTCATATTTTTCAGTCCAATCGAATTTCAAAAAACTTGATTCTATAACAAAAACTAAAGCTAGGAAACCCAGCTTCAACAATGTTGTTCCACTAGCATAAATGTTATTTTGACACTTCTAGGCCATTGCTTTGGTGCCGTTTAACAAGGTTTATAGTCTACTGTTTTTGTTTTCAAAAATTACTAAATATTTTATATTTATTTCGAGTAAAAATGAAAAAAAATATTTGTTTAGTAAATGAATATTTTAAAAGCAAGTGAAAAGAAATGATTGTCAACAATTGAAAATAGTGGCTAAGGTGTAAGAGGTGGTGGCTTATCACCAGCGGAAAGTGGTCGACGGTGGCTAGATGTGGTTGTCAACAATAGGAAGTAGTAGCTGAAAGTAACTGTCGATGGTCAGAGAAGACAGCCAGTTGGACGACTAATGTAGGGACATTTAACAACTCTCATAATTAATTGCAATTATGCTAAATCGACCCAATTCTTAGATTTTCAATTTGGTCATCATCATCATCATCATCCAAGGAACAAGAAGTCTCTAAAACTAACACTGGCTCATTCAAATCAGTTGAACATGTATAGCAAGGGTGATTACTGGTACTCGCGAAGTACGACCACGTGATGCTCTATAGTATTATGATTGGTGGAGGTGGGATATTATGATTTTGTGTTGAGTAATTAAGGAACATGAGGAGGCATGATAAATGATGAATCGTGAAGGAGGATGAACACGTAGTACTCTGGAACTACCTAATAATTTTCCATACGGCAAATAACATTTCAAGCAATCCAACAAATCTTGTCTTTGTTAGGGTAAGCAATTACACAACCGAAGAGGTCTACTGTTAGGGTAAGCAATTACACCACTGAAGAGGTCTACTCAAAAAGCAGGAAAATGAACAAAGAAAAGAAGAAAAAAGAAAAACAAGAATCATTTATACCACAAATTTAGTCTTCTTTCATGACGCTTTGTTGCGCATCCAATCTCTGCTTTTCACAAGTTTTCTCAACTGCAGCTTGGATCTCTCTTCCTTCCTCAATTGGCATGGCTATCATCATATCATCATCTCCTTTATCACTCCCACTAGTTGGATCTTCACTGATAATACCCGTTTGACAATCTCTGGTAATCTTTGAATTTGATGAACATTTCAAGTTCTCAACCAAATCATTTTGACCTTTTAAGATTGTTTCCGAGCTGGGTAAAGCGGTTTGATCTTGAACTTGCTCTTTTGGTGCATTACCTGAAACAGAAGCTTGATGAACTTCATTAACTTTCTCTTTTTTTAGGTACTTATCATTAACTTTCTCTTCCAATGCATCGCCTGAAACAATAGCTCGAGCTTCTTGGACTTGCTCTCTTGCTGCATTGCACAAGACACCATCTTGACCTTCCTTGACATGTTCTTTAGGTGGATTACAGGAGAGTGAATTAAGCGCGTCAAAAGCCTTGAGCTCACTGGCTACTAGGCTACTTGTAATGATGGCATTGGTTACTACAGCTGACGGATTTAATTCTGTGGCAGGTTTTGAAGAATTGTTCTGTGATTGTTGAGCTCCACCTGGCCGCGAGGCATTGGTCGAGAAAGTAGGATATGTGGAAGTCGGTGTAGCTGTGAGGCCAGTACGAATGAAGTGCACATTAGGAGGCAAGGAATTTGTACTGGCTGCACTAGGTGATTTAATTAAAGAACCGTTTCCAGGGATGATGTGGACAGCATTCTTTGCCTGTGCAGCTTTAAGCAGTGATGCGGCATCGGATGGGGTGGCGATGCGGGCCCCGGCAGCAACTGCAGCAGCTTTGACCATATCATCTGGGCTGAGAGTGGGTTTTGTCAACGGTCTCTTTATGGTTACCCGAGATTTCGATGTTGTAGGGATGGAGTCTTGCCGAGATAGATGTTGGGATTGTGTGCCAACTGATGAAGCTTCCACAGCAACAGGACGTGTTGGGTTACTTGGTGCAGTGTTAAGATTTGTCGCAGCTGTTTCATATAAATCAGATAATAATCAAATTTCTAAAAATAATAGCAGTAGAAGGTATATAGCAAATATGTCAAGATGATTGAGCAATAAAATCCATTTGATGAAGAACAAATTGAAGATTTAGTAACTTATTTTAGTATTATTATATTTTCAGATTAATTAGGTTTGTCGATTTAAATCAGATTTAATGATTATTGTTAGGTTATCTTTGGTAACTTTTCATTAGGGTTTAGGGTACTCATGGGCCTTTATTTAATGGGTTTTGGGGACTATGATTGAAAATTGAATAATTGAAACATTGGTTTGGGATTATTTCCCGTGCTTCTTTCTGCTTTTCTAATTTATCATCTCTATTTCTTTCTCTTCTCTTCTACCCCTTTGGTGTCACTGTTCCACTTCAATTTACCGTTTGGCCTCCTCTTCTTCCCCTTATCTATTATGTTATATATTTTTCATTGAAAAAATTATCATATATATCATATAATAAATTCACAAAAATATAAAATTTGAATGTGTCCCAAACATGTTGTCCTTCACTTTTGTGGCCCAAGCATTTATGTCAAACAGTGATAGGTAAAAGATGAAAAACAAACTTCTCCAAATCAAGTGGTCAAGATGGCCCATTCAATATCCCCCCAGCAGGGGTTGACAAAAACACAGATAGTGGTCAAGGGTAAAAATTTCAACAAAAGGAAGAAGAACAGGAAAATCACATGGCAAGAATATCAGCGAGTTCTTTGCCAGCTCATACACTTCAATACACTAGAGATAGATAATACTAGAAGTAGATAGAATCACCAATACCGTTTGAACAAGCTGCCGTCAAGCTGTCTACCATTGGCATGTTGAGAGCTAGGGAAACAGCCCTGCGAGCTGCCAGCTGAGCCTCTGAAAGTTGTGAGCCACCTCCCACATTAACGTTGCTCCGTCGCTTCCTGATAATGGTCCACCTCTGCATAGACCCATGATATGAATATTGGTAGAAAAAGTAACAGATAACTGGGAACCAAACATTATTATGACAGATGGAGAAAGGGTTAAAACTTTGTAGAAGAGACCACACATCATCTCATTAACTTAATTAAGATAATAATAGGACCAATATACAGTAGCAAAGTATTCTGTTGCCAGGATTTGAACCCGGGAAACCTGGGCATTACCCAGACATTCTAACCATACTAGATTACAACAGATTGCGATACTACAGTAGTGATGATATCAGTTAACTACAAGCTTCTAGTATGGAAAAACCTTGCAAACAACCAGATGACATAGATCTGAACTTAAAAGGTATTGATTATCCAATGATATAAAACAGGTTTGCTAAGAGCATATTGATTTAATCAGGATCATTGTATAGCATAAAAAAATATGTTCAAACCAGCTTTTCTCAAAAAGAGAAGGAATGGACATCATGTATAAATATTACAAGTAGAAGGAATGGTTACATCATTGTGCAACAAAAAGTCACGCAACTGGCAATTTTGTACTTGCCTGGAACTTTACGCAGAAGGGAGGCATGAGGACGAAAGTAAAAGCAAGAACAGACAAAAAAGAACAATCATTAATAATTAGTCAGCCACCATTAGATTAGCAGTAGTACAAGCAATTCCAACAACTCTCTCTCTCTCTCTCTCCGAAAAAAAAAACTTAAATCCCTGGATATTATACACGACTAAAAAAGTCAAAATCTGGACAACAATGAGTTGTAAACAGGTGCTACCATCATTTATAAACATGTTTTGCTCCTACATCTTAACTGTGAGAAATTTCTCAAAAAGGGGTTTATTACAACCAAGAAGTACCCAATTGAGTAAAACTCGGCAAAGGCATTTCCAGTAGAGAAACAACCATACACAAGTTCAAAAAATAAAATAAAAAATTCTACAACACTAAGAATTTAAGATAATGTATTCAATACTGGCCTGGACTGGCTGGTTCGACAAATACAACCTGAAACCAGGCTAACAAACAGTCTTAATAAAATCTCAAAACCATCTGAGAAGAAAAATCTGGCTTATTTTTGAAAAGCCGTGTCAACCACAAGTTTAACTCTTAAACCACAAAACTGTTCATGGTCAACCTGACTCAACCAAACTAGATAGTCCAACTAATCCCACACAAATATAGACAATTTAGAGCACAATTCATTCAGTCCCAATCCCAAATACCGCCTACTACAGCAAGCTCAAAGCTTTTTCTAGTGCGATGACTAGCCTCCTTTATTCTCCTACAATGGTGATGGCAGCAAGTGGCAAGTGGCAAGCCATGCATCAACGAGGAAGATATGTTAGACTCTTTCTAATAGTTTAACTACTAAGAAAACTACTTTATTTTATCATATTTTTTTCTTTTTTTATAGTTGTTTTCCCCAGACATGCAAAATCGTTTACTAATTGTAAGTTGCTTTATTTATAGCATATGATGTTGGGGAGTGCCCACATCCACTTAAGTAGTCACATGCTAGGCACCTGACTAAAGTAAAATTACATGTCAAAGTGCAGGACATGGACACCCAAGCAAGGGGGAACTAGACTTGGTTCCTAGGATCTCAAATAAAATTCTAATTCCAACAAGTGATTTCAGATAGATGATTAGAAGAAAACATCATATGGAAAAAATTTCCTGTCCCTCTCACAGTTGTTTCTCTTCCTCCTTTGTCATCTTTCTCTACTAGGGTTGTAAACGAACCAAGCTAAGCCAAACCCAATAGTGGATTGTTCAAGCTTGGCATGAATTTAATGAGCTTCTAAATATGAGTATCTTTCAAACTGATTTCAAACAAGCTTCAAGCAACCAAATGATGAACAAAGGCCAAGAAACTCACTTCTTTATTTAATTCTAGAATGCTTATTAGCTTAAACAGCCAAGCTTAAAAAATTAAAGAGTTTCCAAATGTACTAAAGCCAGGCTCATTTATGGAACAAGACGAACTTGAATGAGCTTCTAGTGAGCCAAACACAAGTCAAGTTTAAGTAACTTGGTTTGTTTTACAGCTCTACTCAACGAGTTTCCAAATGTACTCAAGCATAGCTCTTTTATATAACAAGCGAATATTGAATAAGCTTCTAGTGAGCCGAACACGAGTCGAGTTTAAGTAACTTAATTCCTTTTTACAGCCCTTTACTCTAGAATACTCTATCCCCTTCTATGTAATCTCAGTTCTTCCTCCCTGTTTCATTTTCTTCTTCATAGTATATTGCTGCCTTTTCTTATAACTTGTTCCTTATGTTGGTGCTGTGATTAGAAGCAAGGGATCATTTCCAAACATATTTCCATATGAAATTATAAATGATGTCCACGAAAATATGAGCTCTGACAATTTCCTATAACACCTTTCTTTTACAATCTAAAATTCTGCATAATTTTGTGTTGTATACTTTTACCTCATATACATATTTCCATATGAAATTATAAATGAATATCCCAAATTATTGCGATGGTCTAGGAATTCTAAAATCTTGATGATCAGATTCACATTGATGATGAATGTGACAAAGATATATTTATATCTTGTTCTCCAACTAAGAGCCCGTTTGGCAAAACTTAAAGCTAGCTTGAAAATGTTTCTCATACCCAGCTACAAAAAGTAATCTTTTTAGCTCATTTTGGATTTTTTGAGATGAAAGAACATATAAGCTGAACCTCAAAAAGTTTTACCAAATACCCTAACCTTTCACAGTACAACAGCTCAAGCATAGATTTTAAGTTTTAAATTAAATAAGCTGCAAAACAGCTTTTCCAAACAGGGCCCAAGTGTACTTGAAGTTTGTCATAATTTATTCCCTGCAAGAGGAATTTTTTTGGAATGTTTTTATATTGTTAATAATTTCTTTTTCATAGGTATATTTTATTATTAAATTTTTTATGTGATTTTGACATCACGTTTTAATTAATGTTGAGTTGAACCGGTAAGGCTAACCCTAAACCCACTCAGTTCCTTTTCTGGTTTGCCGAAGAGTTAAAAACATATTCAACTGCGAAGGTTATACTTCTAAAATTTATCCGTAAAAAATAAAATTTTCCTTGTGTAGTCTATATGACCACTATGTCACAAGTAATGTCTGGGTAAATTTAAAATTTTTGGCCATTTGGCTTCCAGCCACACCAAGCAATTTAAATTGTTGTTGTAATTTCAACAATCGAAGGGCTGAAAATCATCCAACCACTTAGTTTTCTGCCCAAAAGTTGGACTGACACAAATTATCTGCTTGATTAGTTCAGATCACGATACATGGGTTCTATGCAGTTAGAGTTCTCTCAATTTCTCATTAACCCAGACTACTATACGCGTCATATGAGCAACTGTCAAAGCATCCTCAAGAAGTTGCCTAGATCTGAGATCCACCTTTGGGTGCCGACAGGGTCATAATCTTGTAGGATAGGCAACGAGGACCTTAGTGACACTTTTCACTACAATGCATGTTTTACGTTAGTTGAAAATTGAAAGAAATCCCAAGGATGGTCCAGCATTTTATAGGTTCTGCAATGCAGAATTCCTAGGTCAATTATGAACGTGGTTGATGGCTGCACATTTCTTTCTTACCACTGCCAATGGAAGAAAGAAATGAAAAAAAAAAAAAAAAAGCCACATCCAAGAAAATTTATATCATCTGATAATAAAATGTCATCTTCATTTATGCGTTTCCTACTGACCACCCGGCCACCAATTAAAGATCAATGGTGCCTTTAAGTTCATTATGCATGGATTGAAAATGCATAGCGGAGTGAAAAGAAATATGGAAAATGAGATAAGTCAGTATATATAGAGAGAAATGGAAGAGAAGTCAGTAGCTTAGAGAAAAACAACCTGAGATAGCTGCGATGCAGTTCTATCATGCTTGAAATCTCCTTTCAAGATATTTGCCCAATTCCCTTCACCGCATTTCTGCACAGCAGCAATCAGTTCCAGATCCTCTGCTGCAGACCATGGTTTCCTTTTCCTTCGAGGAGGCAGGTTGCCACTTGCTGATCCATTTGCATCCAATACTTCAGACATCACCATAGGCAGTGGTTGTTTTTGAACGGAAACTGGAATTGTAACATTTGTTCCTTGCAGTTGCGAATTTTCTAAAGGACCTCTGGATGACTGGGCATTCGGTATATTTATAGTCAATGGAGCCTCAACTGTTAACCCATTTGAAAGACTGGTGTCACTTTGTAAACCAGAAGCGATCAGCACCTAATCAATTGAAATAAGCGATGATAAATTTATTCAGTCAATACAAAGAAAATATGTCAAATCTCTCAAAGCTGCTCACACTATGTTAGAAATTTCCAACCTCCAAAGTCTCTCTCTCTCTCTCTCTCCAAAGTCTCTCTTCATAAGCAAATGTTTCAAAAGCTTAAAAATTCATCAAAAGAAAGGGGTCCTTCACTCTCTACTGCTATATTCTAATTATATTGCATAGGTGCAATCTTAGCACATGTTATGCCTTATTATTTATAAATCCTCACCAAACTAAATTTTTATTGCTTAAAAAAAATGCATTAAGACCCCTAAATTTACCCCCAGTGATGTGGATTGCTACATGTCGGTCGCTGATTTGTTTAGGAATCAACCAACTAATACCCTATGTTACATGGACTCATCTATTTCTCCCAAAGTACCCATGTCCACTGGATATGACAAGAGTATAGGGTTATAAGTTATGTGTCCAATGCTCATACCGAATTTAGACACTCAAATGCTCTAATTTTTTACTATGTTTGAAGAAGAAGAAACTTACATTGTTAGTAAAGAAACATTTCTAGATTCTTACTTGGATGAGAGAATGTAATATCTATAACTATCTGTGACACACCCCTATACCATATCTAACTTTTGGATATGTATCCTAGTATCCTAAGATTCAGGTCTGACGCTTCCACATCTGATACTTATACCCGAGTCCATGTAAGATAGCTAAGACCCAACGCCCTGCTCTGTCAGTGTGGGTAAAGAGATTATATTTTAGGGGTTTCTAGCATTACTCTTGCTTAAATTTTTTATTTCTTTATTTCTTTTTTTTGCAAATTAGTCCCCTAATATATTTAAAATTTTGTGATATCAGGATAAGTGCATTATAGGAATGCATTTTAATAAAAAGAAAAATGAAAGAGTATAATGACGTATGGATATATGACAAATGATGCATCAGAATCAGCTTCCCTTGAGAAGGACTCAAGGAGAGAAGCCACATCAGCAGGCAGTGCAAACTAAAGTTTAACTAGAATTTGGCCATACATTTCTTGTTTTATTTTTTATAAGCAATATTTTCAAGGGACATTTCAGCAAAGCAAATAATTCATCATTCAAGCAATTAGCGTGGCTACCTTCACACATGCTGCAGCCTCTGTTGAAGCTTCACTGCTAACAGGGGGAAGCACTTCCAACTCATAATCTAAATCGCTATCATCATCCTGCCAGGAAAAACAAAAATTACTCGACAAATATAAAAAAATTCACTCAAGAAAAACGAATTCATAACTCAATATGCAGAATTGTGAGGCCCTGTTAGATAACATTCCTGTTTTCATTTTTCATGTTACCCAAAATGGAAATAAACATAATTAAAATCATTTTTTGGTCATTTTCCATGTTTTAATGGACTTGTTTAAAAAGAAAAGTATTGTTATAGTTTCCTGAAAAATGGGTCATTCCCAGGAAAAATAACAACAAACAGTTTTTAGAACCGCACATCAAAAATTCTCTCTCTTACCCCATATTCAGAGACAAAGGGAATTTTTGCAGGAGACAAAAAAAGAAAAGAAAAGAAACAAAAAAGGCCCTAGAATACCACTTTTGTGTGGACTTCAATCATTATGTATACTAACGAACTATTTCAATTATATCAGCTCCTACGAGAATATTCCCAACAAGTTGTTTAAAAACAGTTACAGTCGTGTACAAATTTTGAGGACAAGTAAATAATTCAGTTTATTGACGTTAAATTTCTGATCTTATCACAGTCTATGACAGACATGAGTAGCAAAACAAATCTCAAAAGTGTACTTGACTAGACATGTCAAAATAAATTTCAAATTTGCTGTGCTTTTGAAATTTTTGAAAGGATATGCAAAAGTTTGCTGATCACCAGGAATTGTGATTTACTTAAATCATAAGTCATCAATTTACTTTGTTTTTTTAAAATTTTTTTTGCTGATAAACAAAATAAATAAATAGGCCCTGCCTCGTGCAGGGTGGGGGACAACCAAGTATACATAAAGATAGGATTACACAGGTCATGGTTGTTAGAATTGTACGATTCATGATTTGATATGATTTCCAACAAAAACAATTCAAATCATGCTATTGAATCGGAAATTGAGTGAATCGTGCGATTCAATTTGCGATTTACTACGATTCAGTTATATTTTTGTTTTTGCTTACATAATGCCTAAAACGAAGTCGTTTTCGCTAAACTAGCAAGATATATAGAAGAGATCAATTAGTGATATTGATATACATGATGTTATATATATATATCTACATATATAAAATTTAGTTATATTAAAATTTACATCATTATAAAATTATATATTATATTAAATAAAATGAATCTTACGATTCACTATTCACTATTTTAGCAAAATGATTCACGATTCGATTCGCGATTTGACAATGATCATACACCATTAACTCAACTTAGTATAAGATCCACAATAAAGGAATTCCATATGACTAAAGTTTTACAAAAGAACATCTTAATTTCATAAAGCATTGGGTTAAGAAGGACAGACACAAACGCTGATATGTCAATTTTCAAAAATAAATACAAAAAACGACATATGGGAGACACATACAAAATATATGATTCATTAAAAAAAATATACATATATAACATATCACTAGTTCCTAAAGTTTAAAGAAAAAGGGATTAATAGACATAAGTCTATATTGCTTTTCTTTTATCATTGTATTGCTATTTTGAGTGATTGACATGTGTGTCTCCCCAAGTGTCTCTAGGTCTAAAAATAATAATAAAAAAAATAATGACACATTTGGGCGTGTCCAACACGTGTCAGAAAATGTTTGTCTGATGAGTGTCGGTATTGGACACATCAAACATGGACATGCACCTTCTTTGAACTTATAAGTATCTGTGCTTCTTAGGCATTGGGAAATAACTAAATAGAGAGTGCTCCAATCCATCTAACTTTCAGAAACAAAGCCTCAAGAATAGTAGCAAACTGAGACACCATTTAAATTACATTTAAAATTTCAAAGCCAAAAGCCTCAAGAATAGTAGCAAACTGAGACACCATTTAAATTACATTTAAAATTTCAAAGCCCAAAAATGGAACAAAATAATTCTTCTATATACTGATATGGTGATCCATACAGATGATAAGTAACTGTCTGAATATCTGCTTGGTACACAGGAATTTATATTCTCATAATTGGGTGAACCCTTTACTGATGCGCTCCAATCAAGTGCAAACTAAATCAATACTAATTCTAACACTTCAGAAAGATTACACTAGTGCACAAGACATCCTATAATTGGCTAATTTCTTTGCCTAAAATTCATTACTTAAAAAATAGAAATGACCAACTACAATCATATCAACTTCAACCCCTGGGAACTAGAAAACAAACCTAACCATACTCACAAGTATTGGAAAGCACCACCTTACCACCTCATTCAAAAGCTTAGGTGAAAATCATATTAGAAGTTCAAAATAGTTACCATTCCAATCTAAGAAGCATGGATCCAAAAAATGCGACACATATATGACATGATTGATGAAGCCAAGCCGATACGACAGTCCTGTCCAAAAAAAAAAAAAAAAAAAAGGCAAATGCGCAAAGCAAAACATAAAATTAAATAAATAAAAAATTCTTCATCTTTTTACAATTATAAAATATATTTATATTTTATTATATCAATAATACAAAATCTTTTTTTCATATAAATATTTTTTCATATTAGATATATTGGAAAGGAAGTGTGAACTAATATTTCTATTTTCTATTTCAAAAAGCTTCGTTAACAAACAAATGAGTTTTTGCTTCAGAGTTCCTAATTTTTTTTTTTGAATAAATAATTAAAAAAAATTATTCAAAAAAAAAAAAAGCCTGAAGAAAGAGAGATAAATAGGTATCAAAATGATTGACAAAAATCTTCAAGTGTCCAAAACATGTCTTTTTCTAAAATTTATAATAAATAATAATAATAATAATAATATATGGTTTGACACATGTCCGACCAACATATGTTAGGGCATGTTCAATGAGTGTAGGTGATCGACACAGACACAACACCCCCTTAGATGTGTCATGCTTCTTAGGTTTCAAAGTTCAATGAGTGTAGGTGATCGACACAGACACAACACCCCCTTAGATGTGTCATGCTTCTTAGGTTTCAAATAATTTTACAATAATTAGGCAAGAACTGCCGCCTCTTCAAAGGAAGAAGTCCAAATATAAAATTCTACCTCTGTTAACCTAGTGAAAAATAGAAATCTTTAGTTCTTTTCACCATGCTTTGCAGGACTACAACACTTAGAATTTCACATCCTTTGTGATATACCCAAACATGTTTGCTTGCTTGTCATCAACCAAGAAGGATTCTCAAATAACCCGCATCTACCAATTGTCTTTGGTTTGTTATGCAAGAATAATGGCAAAGCAATTTACTGCCAACCCCCCTCCCCCCAACGCGCACACATACACACACCAAAAAATTATTAAAAAAGAAAAGAAAAAAAGCCTTTATGTGGGTCCATGAGAAGGGTGTAGCTTTCACAATAATGTGTAGGCAAGTACATACCACTTGGAAGGGTGTAGTTTCAGCATTAATGAGGAGACAATTATTGGTACAAGTATTAATATGTAGTTTTAACATTAATATGGAGACAAGCCATTGGTACAAATAGCCAAATTTTGGCAACCATCTGGTTCATATCTTTAAACGTGAGAAATGGGAAAGCACTCGGTTTTGGGAAGATGTTTGGGCAAGTGACACTTCTTTTAATGTTTTGTTCCCATATTTGTATTGTTTGGATCGTACTCTTATCGCTTCTATAGCTTGTTTCTGACTTGGCTCCAATTTCATGAATTTTTCTTCCCCCCTCCCCTTTAGAAATGTTAATGATCTTGAAGTGATTGAATTGGCATATCTGTTGGCTATTCTTGATGACATGTCCTTGAGACCTAATGTTTGTGATAAAAGGGTATGGTCACTTCATTCTTTTGGACTTCTCTCATACAAGTCTTTTTTCTATAAAATCTTTGATAATCCAAATATCCTTCCTTTTATTCCCACAAAAGATTCCAAAAATGGTTGGGTATCTTAAAGTTGAGGTTTTCATGTGAACATTGGCTCATAATAGTCCAATAAAAATTGTATTGTTCAAAAGTGGAGAGCTAATTGCAAATGAGGAATGAATCATTTATTATTGTATTGTCCATATTTTTGTTGGCAAAGATTACTTGGGTGGCTCCAGCTACTTGTTCGCAAATACTTTTGATTAATTTTTGGGGTTTTGGTTGCAACAAGAAAGTGAAAATGTTGAGGGATTGTGATTTTGTTCAATTTTTTTACTTTATTTGGTTGGAGTATAATTCAAGGATTTTTAAAGATAAGCTTGAGGATGTACCTCTGATTTTATTGTTCATTTTTTCCTTCTTAATAAAAGTACTTATTTCATTTTAGTGTTGCTCAAAAAAAAGTACATCCCCTAAGGATGGGTATATCTTCACTTTCCCTTCAATCCTTGTCGTCAACTTATAGCCATACATATCTTTCTTTGATTTCAAATATGGGAAAGGTGTTTTGCAAGCTAAATCAGCTCAAACACCCTCACTGTCCTCCAATGGGATGTTAATTATACCAATTCTAATAAATTTTCCTTCAAGATGGGTTGTGGAGATCATTTCATTTGCAAGATCAGCCAATTCAAAGTCAGATATTTGCCAAGCAATCTGCCTTTTATATACAAAACTCCCAACAACATTAGATATCTCCAAAGAATCCTTTTTTCTTTCTTTAATCTAATGGGGAAAGCTTCCTTCATTTGTGGTTTTTTTCCATTGGTTAGCACTTGCATTCATCTTTTGCTTGTTCTTTCCTTTTTTATATGGATATAAATTACAATCAACTCCCTTGAGGTTTGGAGAAAATACAATAAGTTCCACACTTTTGACATAATTACACTGTCAAAATAACACTAACCTCAAGGGAGTAAAGTGGTAGATAGACACTGAAATAAACACACATATTAAGTGATGATAATATCATTTTTTCATTCATACGACTAAAGAATTACTGATGAAAGAGATTAAAGGTTATATGAATTAAACCTTGAGAGAGGTCGGAGTAATTATGTCAGAAATGTGGAGCTAACTGTATTTTCTTCAAACTTCAAGGGACGTGAGTGTAATTTACTATTTTTATATTACTTTTTTTCTTGTTAGC